GTTTTAGAAAAGTTAAATCCCATCTGCGAGTTTGGTTCTGTTATAGAAAGTCTTACTACAGTTAATTGTTATTATTAATACCATAACAGTGATTCAGACTAAATAAAAAAAACACACTGTACTTACCTAGTAGGTAAGAATGCTACTACCATTCATGTACTAGCATTGTTGTAGACCGTTATTTGTAATTTTAGTAATAACAACGACCTATAATCATTATTTATAAATACATCTGCGTTGCAGTACCTTGAACAACTAATCAATGGTAATTTAATGCTTCTATGAATATTTATAATGTGCAAGTAATAAATAAGTTTGTTTTGTTTTCCAAACTATTACAGATATACAATAATTACAATTTTTTTATGAGAGTTTTAACTCCTTGTTTATTACAATTAATTAATATTGTGGCTCTAAATTATTCTTCATTTGGCGTCTTATAGCTATTTGTTTTTGCAACAATTGACATTTGATAATAATAAAAGAATGCAGAACTATTATTAACGTCAAAAGTGAAGTAAACATATTATACGACAGCATTTGCATTATTTTTCACAAATCGAAACCTATAAATCAATGAATAGGAAGGTCATCAACTATATATAACTTAATTTCTATCCAACTTACTTCATTCTTTGAATTTTAATGTTTTGAGTAATCGAGTAGAATTTTTTTAATGGTTGTACGATAAGATTTTACATTTTTATTTTTATTTATTTTAATAATTTTTGCCATTGTATACAGGGTGATTCTTAAATAAACCGACAAAATTTTATCACAGCTTTCCAAGGATAAATGGAGACAAACTGTACCCTTTTTACGTTTATACTTTTTAGGGGCAAAACCCCCTTGATCCGTGCCACTTACGGCGTTTATGAATTGTTGCAATGATCAAGTACATTTGCATCGAATTACTACCATAGTTTCCACTACTTGTGCTAATACTACTTACGAACGTACGCTTTACCTCGAAAATAACTTTAATAAATTTTATTTGGAGAACGTTTAAACAAAGAATTTTTTAAATATTTTTTCCAGCATGTTCTCATTTGATACTATTATACCAAAGATAAAATTTTGTTGGTCTATTTAGTCAAATTAGTCATAAAAATAGTGGTGAAATAAAGAAAATTCCGACAGAGCTAAATTTTGGTGGAAACCTTGGGTACACCATTAGAAATAAAGTGTCAAAAATCCCCATCGATCCTATGTGTGCTAAAAAAGTTATTCGGGATCACAGGTCAAAATTTGAGGTTTTTTCATTTTTTTTGAAAGCGGTAAGTTTTATCAAAAAAGTAGCCCTGACAAAAATTATAGATCTTAAAATTGTCTACAAAAATGGTCCTGATACTTTTTTTCTAAGAAGCACCATTCCTGAGATATTGCAATTCTAAAAGTTGAAGACATATTTTGCTTTAGGCCATTATTACTTCGAAAATCTAAAAACACATACATTTTTAACCTTACCGAAGCCTAACCTCACTTTGACTTTTATCACAAAAATGCGATAATATGTAAACAGGTTATGTTGCAATCACTAATACATACCGATGTAAATACGTAAACGTATGAATTTTAACACGAAAAACTAGCAGTGAAATAAAATCCAAGGAAATACGCTTTGTTTGGAACGCAAACCTGAACCTACCACACTGTTCTACGTCACACTTGTGGAGTTAATTACATCATCAAAGAGAAATAAAATAACCTAATTTTTAGTAATTGGACATTCCTAAATTTGTACTTAACACCCTCTATCTATGTTGACCTTATTTTAAGAGCTATCTGTGTATAATCATAGATCTCTCATGTCGCTTGTCTGGCTTTTTGGACTCTTTGTATATAGGATGTTTTTTTACGAAAACAATTCATGAATTCATGCATGTAGATGTTTCTGGCGGTTAACTTTTTATATTAATGAATATTTTGGGAATGTCAACAATCACTATGCAAGGAATGTAGAGTGTCAAATAAGCCAGGGGTTAAAGATAAGCAAAGATAATTTTTGGGCCTCTTAAAAATACACACCTAATCTCTGTATTATCTCCACCTGACTTGCATTGAGTTCATATTGAAAACATAATTTAAATTTTGATGGTTTGACCGGAATGACTTGTTTTTCCACCTTCGTTATCTTTTGTGTATGTGAACGAATTATTTTTGTCAAATCAAATAGTTACATAATTACTTCACCAAATTGTTGGCAACCCTATCGTGAGCCTGGTGCGCTCGTTAAAAACATAAACAAAATATTTCAAGTCGTTTATACACTCGAAATGCTGCATCGGTTCGTGTTTATTTCCGTTGGGCACAAGTTTAATTTTCTAAAAATACCAAGACCGAGTTTTGGGTTTGTAAACAAGACACGTATTTTCGTGGCGGGTGTTAAAGGCGTCTTTGTCGGGATAATTATAAACTTATATCTTAGGACGTTGATTGATGCATTGTGTCACTGGGGGATAATTACTCATAATGTGTCTCTAATGGAATTTTATTTAATTTGTTGCAAGTACATAATAATATTATGCACTGTTATGACGAAAATAATGACCCAGGCGACCTAATTACACGATGCAAGTACAACAATTTTAGTCCAGGATTCATCTAATCACAGAGTCTCGTATATTGTTCCATTATTCATTTCATTGTCTCTATGTAATTTTTATCCAACATCGCAGGCGCATCTGATTGTTACAATTGAACAATAATAACAAGTGAATAATGACCAAACTAAGTCGACCCAGCCAGGGTGATTGACTTAGATAACAATACAGATTTAAGGGTGAAAAAGACCCGTCCAGACGGTGCTATCAAAGAACAATGGAGGGTAAAAGCGACTAATTTCAGTTGAAAATCTACCGTTTGAACTGCATCTAAATGTGAAAATCAATGGCTGGGCAGCGTACGCAATGCAGTCGATATTGGGTCCGGAGCGACCCTTTCGTTCAAGGTCACCCAATGTCATTATAAATTTACTAACGGACGTCCCTGATCTGATTAATCAAGGGCTCAGGCCACCCCTGAACTTGTTGTAAACAGGAACCGGCTATTTTTAGTTCGAGATAGCTGGGAGCTTTTAACGCTCAAATTTAGCGGCCTTGACATTGACAATAAAAACATAGAACGGGAAATTTGCGACATTATTAGAAAACAATCGAACAGCGGTCATGATCAAGGTTTTACGTTGTAATGCAAGGCGGAACACCATACTGTTGACGTGGTTGTTGTTTTTACGAGCTAAAAATAGACTAATTAACGTAAATAACAACACTTATTTAAACGCCATTTATTGCTTGCAAATAGGCGCCAATTAAACCTTTTGCATTTCCTGCTATCGACACTCAAAAGCTTAAAAATCTGCCCGATTTCAACTGGTAATAATTACCAATCAAGTTTTCATACTTAATTAGTTTACATAATGGCAATTTTCCCTTTTTTGATATGACGCGGGTTTTGATTGCTTCTGAATGGGCGAGCTTTCATGCACCATTGACAGAGGAGATTTCTTATTTCTTCGCGACGGCGAGGATGTTAAAGTGCACCCAAGGCCGCCGAGTCTTGCTCGAATGCTCCACTGCCTCCATTTTAAATACATCACAATGTGAAGGTCAAATATATCGTGGTAAAGACGAAGAACGTGGGGAGAAAAGCTTATTTTAATTCCACCGTCTGTGAACTTCATGGCACACGCATCCATTCACCTTTTTCACGCATATTCCTCTCTACAAGGATATAAAGTCTTTGCTTACACGGATTTTGTGGAATCTACAAATAAATATGTGATCACATGTGGTGTACATACAAAGGGAACCTTCGGTTTTATGTCTTTAATTTATGTTTGGAGTTAATTCGATAAGTATGTGGCTGTTAAATAACCTGTTGGCGGGCTTGAGAAGACGAGACAGCATTCTGAAGTTTTTACTTTATTTGGAGGATTACAGAACGCCGTTTTACCATTTTTTATACATGAGCTAAATGCACCAGTCGGCGAGTTTGTGACTTTTTTCAAAATATAGCAAACAAGCCAAAAAGAAAACTAGTTGCTTCTAAAACAACAAAAAAATCGCACTTCACAAGATAAATATTTGAAAATTCGGTTTTATCAATTTATCTTGCTTGCAAAGGGTTTGTCGTTTACAAAATTTTGAAAAATTTTTAGGCACCTTTATAAAATGATTAAAATAATGGCCTGATTTTTCTCAACACTATTCATTGGCAGCCGTCACTTTTACATTCTGTGTTTGATTTACGAGCTTTGTCGATGTCGCAAATTACTCTTGCTGCAACCGACTTGGGAATGAATCCAACCGAATACGGTGAGGCATCCGGAGCTTCTGAGCTATTCCGGAATTATGTGAGCTCTCAGCTGCACACCAGCACTCTGACCATACGACAGTAAAAACCTTTTAATAGCAATCCTGAAACTTCTATTATCAACAGTTCGTCTAAGCCGTGATAGAAAATTCTCGCGTCTTTCATGTATACGCAATTTCGTATTCAATTTATGACGGAATGTGAAATACAGATTATATTTTGCCGTTTGACGACGATCAATGGAAATTCAATCTGTTCAGAGTTTGGCGTAGAGATGTTTCCACAGTGAAACATTACCAAAATGTTACTTTTGTAACTAGAAAATGAGGGATGCTATTACCCTTGCAATATCCTCTCGACTTGCTGACGTTTCCTTTTTCCGTAGACGATGGCGTTTTCGAGTCTTGTTTGTTCGCATCAAGCCGATTGGAATGTGGGATGAAGAATCAATGCGCTAAGATGCGCTCTTAAGAAATATTTTGATGTGCTTTTTGCTTTCAAATATTTATTATGTTTTGCTTCGTAGAAATCTTCAGAAGAGACGAAATACTTTTAGTAATTCTTAGTGCTTTCGAATGCGTTTGTTTATGTCAAAAGAAAAATGAAATGTAACAACTAGAGTTAAAATGGTATTGAAATTGTGAATAGATAATCAATTAGTTAATTGAGCTTAATGTTAATTGCAGAGTCGGAGGCGGCGCCAATGGGATTTTCACCCGTCGCCTTGATTTCAGCTCCTTCAACGCCCTGCCGAAGAACAAACTCAATTCTTATCAAATTAAGGTAAGAGTTTTATTAGAGTCTGTCGTGATTATCCGAATTGAACGCAACAAGGGACTAAACGTTTTTCCATTTAGATCAATCATTCGCTCGATTGGATTCTCCATATTACTGTAGCAGTGTTTTCATTTTGCTTGTCCAACCATACCGAGCATACTTAATTTGTTCTTTCTGAATCCACTAACGTTCTCATCGTATTATTTCTATAATCTACTTAAATTAAAATCGTAACTGGTAGTGACATTGTACCAAGTTAAAGACTTTGAAAACAAAAAAGAACACGATTTGCGATTACATTTTTGGTCTAGCAATTTGTAGTAAATCCTGCTGCGGAATTTCAAATCGGGAAATCTCTTTTGGCGTTATTTTTAATAAGCGATCTCTGCATGCTTGCGTTTAGTATTCAGCAGGCGTACACGACATATGAATCAATTAACATACAAATGCATTTTATTGATCTCGTTTATAAACGAATGCAGCTTGCTAAAGCAGTATTTAAAACGATTTTCCAATATCGCAACACATTCATTTAGAATTATCAGCAGTGAATGTAATTGACCAGAACTAGTTTATAGCATTTTTTCTCTTGTTCAGGTCGCTATAATCACGACTAATCGTGCAAAAGACTTTAATGGTGTACATTGGAAAAAAATTGTATTGTGGATCGCGGTCAAGCACTGCATTTTTAAACCTTCAGCTTCATGAACGTATTAGCAGGCAGCACGAGCAGCGTCTGTATTTTGCATAGAATAATCCACTAATAAAAATATTAATGAATAATGTAGACGAGGCAATACAAGAACAATAAAGCAATCAGACTGCGAGGATATTAAAACCACCATTAGTCACAATTACGAGACAGAACTACATATTCAGAGAAACTTAACAAACGAACCACTTGTCTTGGGCGACGTAATTGTCGGCGCCATATACTGTTAAATTTTGCTCATAACAGTTTCAATGTAATCCTGAATTTGCGACAAAATCAATCAAAAGTTTCAATAAATGGCTGTCGACTTTCTGTACTCTGGAAGAAAACAGAGAAAAACTGATCTGATGAAAAGAATAAAAAGCTCTCTCGACAACAGATATACGACAATCGAGTCTAGAACGTGCATAGAATAATAATTTAATCGTTACATTCGTACTAAGTAATTGGTGAAAATGTCTGTTTTAATTGCATCAGCACAACTCTCGTAATTGTTTCTACAATTATTGAAAGCGGTTAGGGCAAGGCTAGGGTCACTGGGGTACGAATGCAACGATTTTTTCGCACTATAGTGGAGAATTAAATTTGTTATCCTCCTCCACAGCAATTTTTCTCTCAATTCCATATTGTTCTGCTGACTTCAGAAGAAAGAAATTTTTCTAATGGTTAATTATTTTTACATATTTTTTGGGTTAAAATGTAATTTACGAGTATTCTTTGAATAATTAAATTAAAGGAATTTTTAAGTTGCATTAATCCTTTGGGACTTTGGGTAAGCCTTGCAAGTTCTAGCTACAAGTCGATTTCAACGTTGGAATCCTTAGAAAAATAGAAACACAGTCAAAGCACTGAATTTAATTTGCAAGATACCCACAATCCGATTTAGTTCTTTCATGGCTAACTATGCTTAGCAAATTGAAATAAATCGTTTGTTGTAAAGAGAAAAATAGTCGCCAACGACTTCCTGCTGTTGACAAGCGTAGCGAACGCCATAATTTCGAATAAAATCAAACGAGTTCCTACAGATCGATAATAATTAAAACCTGTCACTAGCAGAGCGTTTAATTCCTGCTTGTAATAGCCTAAAGTGTATGTCTACTTTAACCCTCCATGACCGCTTTTCTGTTTAAAAGGTAGCAATCCTTTGAATCAGTTTATATTTCAATTAAAAGAAAAAAACATTATCTCTGAAGAAGATTACAGTATTAAAACGTGTGTTTTGTAGTAATTATCCGCCAAGCTATACGCTTACGCAATCGCGAAAAACAGTTACATACTTCTTTCTGAACAGTTGCAACGAGGACGGACCTAATTGCCAGCAGACGGCAACTAATGAAATAATTCATATAGTGTATGGCGTAATAGTGGAAATTATATGTAATCATAAATGGGAGGTGTTGGTGTGAAAGACCTGTGGGTCGTCATCCAGTTCTGCCTTAGGTTCGAACACATTGCAAATCGAGTTTCAGAAAAACGTTACAAATATTTACAAGTTGCTGTTTTTACCGTTTCGATCAATCCCTCGGAAAGTGTTCGCCCATCGCATCGTAGCGCTGCTTGTGTACGGCAGGAACGGAAACGGTGGGGAATGGCACGCGTAATGCGTGCGTAAAAAGGGGAATGCTCAATGCATTGGAGGATGAGGTAGGATATGGATTTCGCGCAGCCCTGCCCATGCCAACGGCGCAATGTGAATTATGATAACGGAATTTTAAAAAGGGACAATGGAGAATGGAGGGTTTGACGATAGCAGGAATCGTACAGCTGCAACTAAAAAAATGTTAAACCAAGTATTTTCAAGTTGAGAAAATCAATTCTGATAAGAGTTTGAGCATCAGTTTTCGTTGCTATCGACTGAAGAGGTTACATATTACAAAGTCAATGAGCTTTCATGCTTAGATGAATTACTCTGTTTTTTATTCATCTTCATTAAAATAGAAAATTAAGGTATGAATTCAAAGCTATTCATAAAGTTTTATTTAAAATTTTCTTGGCAAAAATAGTGTTTCAAAATGTGATT